ATGTTCCTTGGAGGCCAGGATGGCCAAACTTCGTCTCTCATACTTTAGACATATTGTCAGGAGATACCATTCGCTGGAGAAGGAAATCATGTTTGGTAAAGAGGAGAGTCAGAGAAAAAGAGGAAGGGCCCCAGCAAGACGGATTGGCAAAGTGGAAGTATCAATGGGCCCACGTGTGGCAGCAATTACAAGGTTGGTCCAGGACAGGGCAGTGTTTCCTTCTGTTGTGCACAGGGTCGCTATGAGTCGGTACCGATTCAATGGCACCTAATAGCATCAACAACAATCTGGGGTGCAACTATGTGTCTCTCCATATGTGGAAATGGGAGTAGTGATGAAAAGTGACGATTATTGGAATCAACCAGTAGATCATTTGAACCTTGGTCACCACCACTCTGCGACTGGAGGAATTGGATGGTGTCTATTACTACTAACAACTGCTCTGATAGAGATCACATTGAAAGGTCCCAGAAGAAGTGAGTGAGAAAGTGGAACAAAATTCAATGTTATTTAAAAAGGACTTGGCTTGCTGGTCAGGAGGATACCCGAGGGACCTGAAACTGTAGCCCTTGGCTGTCCTTCATGTCTGCAATGAACCTTACACTAGTGGACCAATTTTCTTCTAAGTGGTATATTTGGGGGAAGGGTGGGGGATCTCTGGCAGCATAGAGGATTCCAAACTAGGCTGCTAATCACAAGGTCAATAGTTCGAATATATCAGCCACTCCATGGGAGAAAGAGAAGACTTTCTAAAAGCTCCTGTAAAAATTAACAGACTTGGAAACCCTATACAGGGTGGCATGAGAGGCAAACAACTTGGTGGTACACAACTATCACCACCACCTGGGGGTATAGCAACATGGTCAACTATTCAGGAACAAAAGGACAACATGTATCTAAAAACAAAGTTGAGAAGGGATAGGAGGTAGAGTGTAATGGAGACAGAAACCACAGGGAGGAAATGAGTTCACTTTTGTTGCTTGGAAGGGATTGTAATCATTGAGATGAAACAAAGTATAAGATTTGTTGAATGTAAAGTTCATGATCTTTTCTGTAAAACTGCACTCAATTCACAATAGTTTCAAATAAGGAAGGTTATTAATTCACATAAATGAGCAAAAGTCTGAAATACAATAGCCAGAAAGATTAACTTTTTTTTCTATAAAAGTCATACTACAAAGTAAACGGCATTGCTCTTCGACACACTGATTCCCTATCTGGGAAAGCAAGTTTGCTTGACTTTATGCTGAGAAGGGGTTACTGAAAAGGTCAAATCTACTCAAAGAGAGTCTTTTGAGAAACTATGCTGATTGCCAAACAGAAACCGTCAGCAGGAAATAGACACACAAGAGAGATTTCCCCCAGGGTGAGAATAGCTAATTCCTATTTAAAGATACTAAGGGTTTGAAAATGAGCAAAAGCCATTGTAGTGATTAATCAGTAAGAGAACTTAGTTTGAAAATAAGCAAAAGCTGCTGCAGAATCAGAATTACTGTCTGAGAAACAATTTTACAAACTCTGTGTTAACAAAACATCTCACTCTCCTGTACAGCCCTTTGCAATCCTTAAAGGTAAGCTGATAGTCTGCTGATCGGCTACTTTATGTAACAATAGCTCTAAATTTTAAGATCAAGATACAACTGATGAAAAGAAAAAATTAAAAAAACACTGAAATTTTGAGTAAAACTGTATTTAAAAATGAGTTAAATACTTAACATAGTCCTCTAACTTTCCTAATTATAAGAAATTAGATGCATGTCAAAAGATCATAATAATGCTTTTTACTGTTTATAATAAATAAACTTTCCTAATGATAAGTAATTAGATACATGTCAAATGATTATAATAATGCTTTTTATTGTTTATAATAAAACAATGTAAGGTCATTTTAATAATTAATGCTAATAGAAATAAAGAAATCTGAGAGAATGTGTGGCTGATCGTTTTTATATTTAAAGTTAAGTCAATATTGTCAGTTTATTGGACTAAAAGATGGAGTTAGCAGGAATACATTTGAGAAGAAAATTCATGAATATTTATTTTGCAAAGCTGCAGCATAAACAGTAAAACAGATTATAATATAAATTAAGTCCAGTGAGTACTTAATATTTGAGGACAAAAACATAAAGTCTAGGGAGCCCTCCTGGCATACTGTGTTGCACGTTAGGCTGCTAATCACAAAGTCAACAGTTTGAATCCGCCAGCCAGTTGGAGGGAGGAAGATGAGGCTTTCTGCTCTCATAAAGATTTACAACCTTGGAAACCCAGGATGGCGCACAACAACATCTCTGGTCTCATTCACACATTCATCTTATGCAGGGCCAGACAGAGTAAATTATAATTGGGCTTGATTAAAGTTATGTTTTAGAATGCAAAATTACTTTGAAGGGAAAGAGAGTGGGAGCTTGATTTGGATGTAAGAAATGAATATGGCAATGAAACATAGGATCTTATCCAGGTAAGGAGCAGAACATAAAAATTATGGGAGGAGTGGGTCATATTTGTTGATTGCATAAAAGGTTAATTAAAATGATCCTAAATTGAAGTCCATAGCACGGAGTCAATTCCGACTCATAGTCATCCTACAGGACAGAGTAGCACTGGGTTTCCGGGACTGAAAATCTTTATGGGAGCAGATTGCCTCATGTTTTTCCCAGGGAGTAGCTATTGGGTTTGAACTGCTAACAATGTGGTTAATGATCCAATGCTTATCCCAATACACCACCAGGACCCCTTTCATAAACTAAGCAGGGGTGTTAAAAGGCAATGCCATTGAGAAGCATATTGAACTTAATTTCTTTTTTAAAAATATTTTGCATAAATGATGGAAGAGATACAGAAAAAAAGAACAATCACAATGTATCCATTTATTCCCTTAAACATAAGGATTGGTTTAAGAAAACTGTGTGCTTATAAAGGGGAAATCTTAGTTTTGAATGAATTACTAAGTTAAAAAAAAATTAACCACAATTTTGAATTGAGAAAAGTTGGATTATGAGTTGGGCTGCTAACCTCAAGGTCAGCAGTTCAAAACTACCAGCCATTCCACAGGAGAAAGATGAGGCTTTCTGCTCCCATAAAGATTCACAGCCTCAGAAACCCTATACAGCCTTGCTATGAGTTGGAGCCGACTCCAGGGTACACCACCACCACCACCATACAGAAGAAAGTTCCTAAACTGAGTTTTAACAATAGAAAATGACCGTCTTTATTGGGGTAAAATAAGCATAGCACTTCCTGAATAATAAGGTCATTTTAACAGTGAAAATGTATCAATATCTCCAGAATCATTACAATCTAAGTTTGATAAAGTATACCACAAATGTATTTAATAAATTGCTTTTAATAGCATATCAGTCCATTGCAGAAGTTTCAAATCACAGTCCCTAGAAAAGGAGCAAGGTGGAATTAATTTAAGAGATAAGTAGGTTCATCTATTCACCTACCCAATTAGTAAAAGTAGAAATGCTTTCCAAAATTGTGAATGAATTAACCATGTTGAATTTAACATATCTACAGATGGAAAGCAAATTAAAAGCAGAAGAATCAAATAATGCTACAATGAGGGAATTTGCTCTCGTGGGGTTTTCTGATACACCCAATCTTCAGTGGATTCTCTTTGGGATATTTTTAGTCATATATCTGATTATTTTGTTAGGCAATAGCATCATAATACTTTTAACAAGAACTGACCCAACACTCCAGAACCCCATGTATTTTTTCCTTGGTAATTTTTCCTTCTTGGAAATCTGTTACGTAACAACTACTATCCCAAGAATGCTCAGGGACATTTGGACCAAGAAAGGGAATATTTCTTTTGTGGCCTGTGCTACGCAAATGTGTTTCGTTCTTATCTTTGGAGGCACAGAGTGTTTGCTCCTGACAGTGATGGCCTATGACCGCTACGTAGCCATTTGTAACCCACTGCACTATCCTCTCGTCATGAACCACAAGGTCTGTATCCAGCTGTTGGCTGGCTCCTGGGTTAGTGGAATTCCATTTGAAATTGGGCAAACATGCCAGATTTTCTCTTTGTCTTTTTGTGGGTCTAATATAATTAATGATTTCTTCTGTGACATCCCTCCAATACTCAAGCTTGCCTGTGGGGACACATTTGTGAATGAGATGTTGGTCTACATAGTGGCTGTGGTGTTTTTCATGGTTCCATTTCTTTTGATCATCACCTCCTATGGCAAAATTATCTCCAGTGTTTTGAAATTATCATCAGCCAGAGGGAGAGCCAAAGCCTTCTCCACCTGTTCTTCTCACCTGACAGTTATAATCTTATTCTATGAAACAGCTGCTATCACTTATTTTCAGCCCAAGTCAAATAAATCTGAAGGATTGGCAAAGCTGCTTGCTCTTTTCTACACCATTTTGACACCAATGATGAATCCTATAATATATAGTCTGAGGAATAAAGATGTCATGATGGCGCTCAAGAAATTGCTACCTAAATGTTCATTATGTAATCACATGCATGTAAAAATATAAATTCTTATAAGACAGGGGCTTGAAATGACAGAAGCAATTTGCTTAGGCTTTTTGTCATGTAGCTACAAGAGGAAACTGTTTCTAGTTTTGTCTCTACATTTCTAAACAGTTGTAATTAACAGTATGCTAACAACCTCACATGATGTCAAGGTACCTTTGCTTCATAGAATTCATTGCTTCTGTTTTAAAAAAACACAAATTATCTGAATTGTGAAAATGTAATCTTGAAGATCAGTTTTTCCTCTGACTATGAACAAGTGGGACTCCTGATATGGCGATGTGGGTTAATGTGCTGGACTACGAAATCGGTTTGAACTGCAAGTTTGGCAGTTCAAGCTTACCAGCTGCTCTTCGGAAACTCTGTACAGGTTTATATGTGTCAGAACTGACACAACAGCACTTAACAACAATGAATAAGTGAGGTAAGATCTTGACTGCACAATACAATGAAAAATAACTGTATTTGTTGTATAATTAGGAATTAGGATCATGTTCTGCAATAATTTTTCTCATATTTCCAATTCCTTCAGATGCATTTGGTGCCTTTTTCTGCCCCTCTGGTTGGATTCAGCCAATGAGAAACACCAGCAATAACTATGATGGTGAAAACTGGGGAGAACTTGGGGTTTTCTTTGCATTTTTCCCTTTGCCTCTTCAAGTCTACCTCTGCTGCAGGATATACCTTCATCATCATCTCTCACCATTCTCTTGTAACATTATTTCCTCCCCATTTATCTTCAAGCTGTGGGTCTGTACTATTTGTAAAGTTCAGGTATTTCCTCCATAATCCAAACATACCCAAATGAATAGTCCTTTCTTTAAAATACTTTTATTTAAATAATCTGAAATGAATTGTTTCTTCTACCAGGCCCCCACTAATATATCATTTCCTCTTCAACTATTCTTAACATACCTTTCAGACATTGATTTGGCATCTTTTTTCATTATGAAAGAAAAAAAAAATCTAACATGTTTACTCTACCAACTGATTTAAAGAAAGCCCATAGAAATGATGATACTTGCACAGGAATGACTATTACAAATATGTATTTATTGGTGGATATTTAATCAAAATATATAGTGAATAAAAAATTGGAAGCAAAGAAAATTGGAGATTATATTAAGTACATCCACAACATAAAACTGAACAGGCCTGAAAGAAGATATTATAAGAGCCATGGTGAAGAAATTCCAAACAGGTTCTGACATGTAAAAGAAATTGACTATATTTATAAAACATGATCCCATTTTGGTGAAACTTTGAAAACTAAACCTGTTGAGACCAGACCCATTGCGGAGTTGACTCTGACTCCTGGAAACTCGGAAGGACAGAGTAGAACTGCGCTGTAAGTTTACAAGGCTGTTAACATTTTGGAAACTGATCAAGTCGTTTTTGTTCCCAGAAAGCTGCTGATAGGTTGAATTATCTTCCTTTCAGTTAGCAGATGAGGGCTTAACAACTACTCCATCAGAGATCATCAGAGATCCCAACAATGAAAGATTTGTTATTATTAAGTGCTATTGAGTTGGTTCCAATTCATAGGGTTTCCTAGGAGCAGCTTTAAGTTTGAACTGCTGACCTTGTAGTTCAAACTGACTGTGAGGTCCAGTGCTAAAAATCCCCAAATCAAACCCACTGCTATCAAGTTGTTCCGACTCATAGCGACCCAGATACGTCGTTTCTGAGACTGTAAATCTTTAACATTGCAGACAACTTCAACTTTCTCTTTCAGAGCAGCTAGTAGATTTGAACCATAGACCTTGTGGATAGCAGCTCAATGCCTACTCCACAGCACCACTATGGCCTCTTTAGCGAAGAATGATGTTGGTAAGAATCCTTAAGTCGGTTCCAACTAATAGTGACACTGTATAGTGTTTCCAGAAGCCCAAGTGGCTTTGAACCAACAACCTTGTGGTTAGCAGTCCAGTACCTATCCTACAGCCACAAACCAGAGCTCCTTAATGATTTTTATTGTTGTTAAGTTCTGTGGAATTGGTTTCACCTCATAGCAACCTTTAGAGCAGGAGTAGGGAATGTCCTGACTGTGGGACTTAAAAGGCCTGCTAAGTCATTTGGCCTGGCCCTGCCAAGGCATCTGCAATTACAGCCATCATATTGTTGTTGGTAAGTGCCATTGAGTAAGTTCCGTACACATAGCAACCTAGTATAGGGTTTCCAAGGAGCAGCTGATGGGTTTCAACTGCTGACTTTGTGTTATGTAGTCCAGTGCTGAACCTACAGCACCACACAAGATGCCATGAATTAATTAAATGCTTGCCAAATGTAGCAGGTTAATTTTCAAATTGATAATTTTGTATGGTCCATGAATGATGTTATAAATTTTATAACATCACTCCTGTTTTAGAGGGTATCCAAGGAGTGACTGGGGGGTTTGAACCATTGACCATGTAGTTAACCCTCTAATACTTATCCTACAGTGCCACACATGTTGTTGTTGTTGTTAAGAACCATGGAGTCTGTTCCGACTCATAGCGATCCTGCAAAGGGTTTCCGAGGCTGTAAATCTTTACGGGAGCAGAACGCCTCTTCTTTCTCCCGCGGAACCGCTGGTAGTTTCGAACTGCTGAACTTGAGGTTGGCTGCCGGACTCGTAACCACTACGCTACCAGAGCTCCTTACACGTTTGTTGTTGTTGTTAAGTGCCCTCGAGTCGGTTTCGACCCATAGCAACCCTGAATAGGGTTTCCGAGGCTGTAAATCTTACGGGAGCAGATCGCCTCATCTTTCTCCCGCAGAGCAGCTGGTAGTTTCGAACTACTGACCTTCCGGTTTGCAGCCCGATTCGTAACCACTACGCTACCAGAGCTCCTTACACATAGTACCCCATAATTCTATTAAACTATTTACTTGTTCATGTGAGAAGTGAGTATCTGTGGCTATGGACGAGATGAACGAGGGTTTTCAAAAAGCTGTTGAAAAATGGCGAGAAAAGATAATGGAATTTTCCCATGAACTTTTTGATGTTCTCTAGTACTTGAGCACTATTCGAAGGGATTATTGGCTTCCTCATTGTGGCAGGATTTTATTATTTTTTTCCTTACATCTTTTTCTGTGTAGTTTGAGTTCACGGCAATGAAATTATAGCTGGTATATCACAAAAGCATTAATGAATTTTCATTCTGAAAATTAACCAAAGAAAAACAAAAATTTTCATTTCTTCCTTACTTCTTGCGACTAAATATGTAAAATAATCATTGCATCTAGGAGAGAGACCAAAGTGTTAACCAAATGAAAGAAACAGAGTGTGTATATGTGTGTTTAGCATCTATTGATATTACTTGAAAAATAACCAAATGGCATATAAAAATAAAAGTAGAGAACAATAAACTTGAGATTGCAAAAATGACCATAGTTAAATATAAATTACTATTAGTGTGCTAGAATGATGAAAAAGACAAAATCTTTAAAGAAAGGTAAGAGAAAAATGTCATCAAATATTTTATTAATGAAAAATTTAATAATATCCAACAAATCAAAATGACAAAAACAAAAATTAAAAATTGATGACAATACTGAATTATATATAATTTGTCAATAATTGACAGTCAAGAAGGTAACAATTTTTAAAATGATTATATGATTTTAGGAGATCACTTAAATGTTTTACTTGGGAACTGGACATATATCTTTTTCCAATACCAATAAAATATTTATAAAAAATGTTCATGCACCCCTGACAATATCCAGAAATTCTCTAAACAACAAAATAAAAATAAATTAGCAAATGTTTAAACACATGAAAGTTAAAAACATACACAGATGCACAAAATAAGCATTTAGTAAATCTTTAAAGGCCAAGTAAATTCATACTTATTGATAAATGCCATGGAGTCAGTTCTGACTCTTTATAGGGTTTACAGAGGTTTATAGAGGTGGCTGGTGACTTGGCCGGCATACCTGGAGATTAGCATCTCAGTGTTTGTACTACAGCATTATACCAGGACTTCATACTAATGACAATAAAGTACCTAAATCCATTGCCATCAAGTTCGTTCTGATTTACAGCGACACTGCAGGACAGAATGGAACTGCCCCTGTGCATTCCCAGGACTGTACATCTTCACGGAAGTAAAGGGCCTCATCTTTCTACCACAGAAAAGCTGGTGGGTTCAAACTGCTGGCCTTATAGTTAGCAATCCAAAGTGTAACCTATTGTCCTACCAGGGCTCTGTGACAATAAATGGGGTAGAGCCAGTACCAACTTAGCATTCCTGCATAGGGTTTCCAAGGTTGTAAACCTTTACAGGAGCAGAAAGTATCATTTTTCTCCTTCAGAGTGACTGTTGGACTTCAACCTTCAATCTTGTGGCTAACCATCCAGCGCTTATCCTACTAAATCAATGGGGTACCTGACAATAAAATAGGTATGTTTCATTTTTAGAGAGTCTGCCATGCAAATCTGATGAAGAAAATGTAATTCCGTAATAAAAATGTCCAATAACAAAAAAGTTATTTTGTTGTTATGTGTCCTCAAGTTGTTTCCAATTCAGTGACTCAATGCCATTCAGTTTCTAGGAGTAGCTGATGTGTTTGCTGTTAGCAGTCCAGAGCTCATTCTAAATGCCACGCCATACCAATAAACCTAAAACTGAAAGTGAACATAGGTATCTTGTTTTCTTCATTTTAATTATTTGAAAGGATTCACCAGACTTCACACTGTTTACTCACATAGACTTTTGTTTAAAGGTAAAGAACACTATGGAAAAAAAGAATAAAACATTGGGAGTTTGAGACATTCGACAAGAGAAACACCCCATGGTCCCGTTTTTGTATACACAAAGGTGAATTCTGGCTTGAGCCTCTCAAGTGTGTGCAAGGGATATTGACTTTTGGTGATGTTCAGAGAGCAAAGGGATTTGGGACTGGTGTTAGCATTTCTCTATACAATCAAGTGCTGTTTGTGAAACCAGTTAGCACAGTTGAAAATCATTAGTAATGAAACCATAGGATAGTTCAGATGTTAAACAGTATATAATAA